GAGTTGGGTTAAGAGATCAGCTAAATCTTTAGCTGATGGATTAGCTAAACAAGGGATAGAAAGGGAAGCAATGTTTTGGGCTTAGCTGTAACTTAATTGTTTCTTTTTCTCTTTTTCTCTCTTTGGAGGGTTTAAGTTGTATTCGGAAGATAAGAGTTCTTGTCTTCCTTGCTGTAAATATTTTGATATTTCAAAGATTTGAATGAATCTGTTATTGGTAAAAAAAAATAGTAGATCGCTGCACTCTTCTCCCCCTGTCTCAAATTTTTCACATCACTTTTCAGCTTATAGACTCTTGCCACATTCAACTTCTATGAATATGTTTCTGTAACACTGTCCCAAATTTCCTTGGCCGAAGACATCCAAAGATAGTGCTGACTTATATGGGGCTGCATAGAGTTAACCAACCATCCAATGACAATGTAGTTCTCCTGCGTCCATTTCTTATATGCAGGGTCTGTCTCTGCAGGTTTCACCTTACTGCCTGTGAGATATCCCAGTTTACCTCTACTACAGACATGAATCCGAATAGACTATGCCCAAGCTAGATAATCGGTGTCATCTAGCTTGATTGTGGTCACTCCAGTAAAAAAGGAATCTATCGGGCCAACCCCAGATACCAGCATCTGCTTCGATTCACTTCCGGAATTCTCCATTGATCAAACGAGAAAAAAAAAAAACAGTTTTTCAGTCTATATAAACTTAACTGAGGTCAATACAGTACCTGGAGACTTGAAAATTAGGGTTTCACTGCTCTCGGCTGTCAGGGAGGAAGGGAGAAGAGGTAGCCGCTCAGAGCTTCCAAACCACCCACAAGTCTCAGAGGGTTAGATAAATTACTTCTCTCCCCTCACTAATCCTTTTATCAATCTTCACTAATGTGGTTAATTACAAATCAGCCCTTAAGTGGGGCGTCCAGCTAAGCATAAACTTAAAATAACTTAAAAGAAGTTAACAAGCCCATTAGACAGGCCCATTAGCAACCAAAATAAATAACCTACTATTGAAACATAAAATAGACACTAGGGCCCATTCGGCCCAATCTCTCTACAGTATCAATTGTCTTTATCTAGTGTGCTGCTCTAATTTGTATAGCTTCACATAATCCCTCTTTTGTTCTACTTTTCTTATTAAAAATCCTTCCATTTCTTTCCTCCCAAACAGTCCACACTACTACAGCCTGAATTGCTTTCCACATTAAAAATCCTTCAAAAGAAGCAAATTTTCACCTTGATAGAATTGAAAATCTGAATAGTGTGAAGACAAAGAAAGAGAAATAGAAAAAAGGAAGAAGACACTAATGCTCTATTTTCTGCACTAGATCTCATCGTAGTTTGCCTGCAAGCTTCATTTTGATCCAGGGAATAAACTTCATCTATGGAAGGAATCTCATCTATCCTAATAATTTGCATTTCCATAATTTCAAGATCAGAATTAAGCTTTGCAAGAAACTTGAACACATCTATTTATTATATTTTTATGTATACATTCACATCTCTTTAATCGAAAAATAAATTGGAAGTTTCAATTCCCTCTGTCTAAAAGTATCAATCTCCCATCTTAGTTGATAAATTTTGGCAACATTAGTACATACAATTCACCCTATCCTAGCACTCTCTAGAAACAACAAAGTCTGGCTGATTTTTGGTTGCATTAAATTCAACAACCACTGCATAATATTTAAATTTTCTCGGTCCAACTTACCAGTTGTTGGTCTCTAAATGTTAAACCTTAAAATCTTCCCCATGGCATAACCTAGTTGACTTTCTCCTCCAATGGATATCTTTATGAATTAGGATCAATCCAAAAAGGATTAATTACTGATATCTCCCTCTGGGTTTTGGTCAAATACTACAACCTCCTTCCCTTAGATTATCTCCCTTTAGGTTTCAGTTAAACACTATGATCTCTTCCCTTCAGATTTACCTTTTAACATAGCCCTTATATTTTCTCACATGACATTTAAAGCTTCTCAAAAGTCCATTTTACCATTTTGGGCTCCTTCATGTATATTATATGGACAAATATACCCTCATTTTTACTTCATGAAGGGACATTTTTTTTGCCATAATGTTAAGGTGGGAGTGAAAAGTTGAAAAGAGGTTCAAGAAAAATATGTAAAAATTTGAAATAGTAGAACTGCATTTATGGTTTGTAAATGACAGTAATTTTATTAATTTCAAAATATATATTTTGGAGGCAAGGCTAACATTTTATTTGTTAAAGATATTTTAGTAAAATATTTATTTGTCTTTTGTTTCTTTTGTTAACAAACCATTTGTAGCTTCATGGTCAAAGGGAGTTTAAGTTTTAGGTATACCTGTCAGGTGGAATAGCCATCGTCAAACTATGGTCGCTTAAATCATGGCTAAACTATCAGACAATTTGGATATAGATATGCTTTGGAAACACATGGATACAGATGAAAATACAGAAACACTTTGATATGCTCAGTGTTTAGAAAACCATACTAGATCGGCCAATTGGACCAGTTAAACTATGACCCAAGACCTTGGCCAGTTCAGTCATACCCCAATAACTTCTTTCATTAAAAAAACCGGTGAAAACTAGTTGACTAGTTGGTTTAACCAGAAAAAACAGTGAACCGGTCCTGGTTTCATGAAACTGCTCGGGTCCTTAACTAATACAAATTTTAAAATGTGCTTAGCAAGACTCAAACCCTTAACCTCTTATTTTCATATATTACTTAATTACCATTAGTCCACCTCTTAACTTGTGTTAATTAATGACTCTTTATTGCACATATTACTCTGTTGCACATATTTTAAAGAAAATGTAAATTAAGAGAGCCCTAATCATTTGCTTTAAAAATTAAGGAACTTGCCATCAATACACCATATTTAAGTATATTAAAAGTTGTAAAATATATTATATATAATATATATGACCTCTAGTATATATATGTATATGCCACATCATCATGGTTCGACCTATGGTTCGATTCCTTTTGAACTTCTGACCCGTGAACCTCTCCCCTCTTCGGTTCTATGCCCAGTCTGGTTCTCTAAACTGGGAAATACATACAAATTCCATAAATACATTAATAACACAAAATTTAAGGTCAAAGTAGCCAAATAATGTATAAATACATATGAAATGTATATTTTAATGGTATATATGAAGAAATATATTACAATTAATATAGTGGGATACATAGTAATTGTACAATTTTATTGATAATGCATCAATCAAGAGTCCAAGAAACATATTATATAGATTTTTACAAATTAATACATGCACAAAGCCATTATTTTGTTATTTACTATTTAAGTTCAAGGCACAAAGCATATGCAACTATTATTTTAAATAATATATCAATTCTTCTTTTTTTATTTTTCTATTTTTACTTTTTCATATTAACAAAAAATTCAACTAAATATTAAATTCTCAAATGTTTGGTAAACAATATTATTATTTGTGTAAACAATAAATTTGTTATTTTTAATAATTAAATATGTTATTTTTATAAATAATAAATATGTTATCAAATCTGTTAAAATTTCTAGGATACATATTATATGCAAATTTCATAATTTTTAAAATAGTTATTCCTTTATGAATATTTTTATCTCTATAATTTTTCTGAAATAAAAATCATTTTTTATATAAATGTAGATTGGATTTGATAGATTCGGTTTAATATTATATTCCCAAATTTTTTGTAAACAGTATTTTTATTCTTGTAAATAATAAATATGTTGTTATTTAATGTAAATTAAAATAATAATTTATAATTTATAAAAATATATAAAAACTTTAAGATACTTATCATGTGCGAATTTATAAATTTTAAGTACTAAAATAATTATTCTATTTTTAATACTTTTGTATAAATTTTTTGAGATTAAAATCATATTTTGATGTAAATTTGGATGTAATAGCTCATTAATTCTAAGTTTATAAAATACCAACTTTGAATATTATTCTGTTTAATTTTTAGTTGGAGTTGCCGAACATAAACATATGTTTTTTGTTTGAATTGCATGTGGACACAAAAGTATTAAGTTATTATATTTCATTTATTATCACAAGAAGCAAAGAGGCTTGGTGGTTTGATCTTTGATGTTGCATTTAAGATTTGGGTGTAGATGCGACTTGGTTCCAAATCACGCCAGAAGCGTTTTTTTAATAGAGAGATGCCAGACATGGTATAGTATCAATGCATATTGGTCAGTATCAATGTGTATCAGCCTGATACAATGTGATATGTGCCGATACAGGCCCATATTATCTCAATACGCACAACTCAAGGGATACGCCCTTGTTCATAGTGTATCACATATCCATATGCACTGATACTGATATGATATGCCCTTCATCGGGCGTATGGTATCAATATTTCAATCCTTGCTTCCACCCAAGTCCTTTTCAGTCTATTCCTAGCTCTTCTAGCCCCTTCACCTTGTAGCACATCACTTTTTCTAAGGATATCTCATGTGAAAAAAGATTAAAAGCATCTAAACCTTTTTAGACAGTGCACTACATTTACTAGGATGATGTCAATGACACCTTCGGTTGTTTTTGTTTTTTCTTTGAAAATTTTCACATTTCTTTCTTTTCATATTGACCAGAAATGCGCATCTCCACATTATCCTTCCTCTGCTCTTTGGTAAAGTGAAAAGATTATTACTTTATTAGGCTTTCTGCATCACTTGGGGGAGTCCATTTGATTTACCCTTTTCTAATTTCCTGCTTGTCTGTGTCTTGCATTTGTGAGGTGATTATGTCATTAATTCTTTCTTTGCTCACCATGATCACCCCAATAGGACTTTCTCTTTTTCATCCTATATCAATGCGTCTCTTTCCTCATTCATGGAGGTTTCATCAGATTCGGATATGAACCCTGGAGGGTTTAAGAAGGGAAAGTTGTTGAATCAATTAAAGGATATACCACTAATTTCTGCCATGTGGGGATAACCCTATGAACAAGGTTCAAAAAATCGACACGTATCGTATCGGGAGCACCCCGATACGCCCCTATAGAGGGTCTATCGGGGTTTTGACCGGTTCAGGGGGTGGAGGAACCTTAAACCGACCCTCTTAACCGGATTTGAAAAAAAAAAGTTAAAAAAAGTAAAAAAAGTACCGTTACTACCCGATACACCCCTACCGGCGTATTGGGCGTATCGATATTTAGAACCTTGCCTATGAGCAATCTGAACCATGGGATTTTAAGAAAGGGTTTGAACCTGGAGGGTTTGCTAGACAACCCCACTAATTTCTGCCATGTGGGCTAACTCCATCAGTGATCCGACCCATCTATTTAACATGGCATCCTCTGGATAGGTTACAAGTTCCATTTCCCAGCTAATATCTGCTCTATACCTCATATGAGTTGGATCCTTGAATTGTACTAGCTGTCCAAAGTTACACTATTTTATTTAAAATAAAACCTCCAAAGAAGAGCTCATTTTCGCCACCTGGCAGAGGGTTTTAAGCTGAAATTTCCAATTAAATAGGGGATGGTCAGAGCAACATGTGGGGCCTAAAATGTTTGCTACCATATTGCAATGTGGAAAGATTGTGTATTGGTTAGAGTCCTTTACTGGACAACGTTGCTACCATATACTAATCACTTGCCCTTTTGTTCTAGGTCTTCGGGAAAAGTTTTTTGATCTTTTTGGGTGCAGGTGGACAGAACCGTTGCAGATTTGCAATCTTTTGATCCTACAACTTTCGGGTGGCCAAAGATAAGAGGAAGAGTTTTGTGGAGGTGTGTTAGAGCTGCTTTGGTGTGGACTTTGTGGGAGGAACGAAATGCTAGAATCTTTAATGACAAGGAGAGGGATCAAACATATGTTAGAAAGTATCTTATGTAGGGCCATAAGTTGGGTAAAATCCTTGGATCTGTTTTCCACCTACACTTTCGATGACATAAGGAAAAATTGGGAACAACTAGCTAAAAGTTCTGCAATCAGAAGCAAGCCGGTG